TATTTCGGTGGCTGGCAATAGTTCGATGCTAAGAATTCTATATTGTACTTTTGTTTACCATACAGAAAGGCATGATGATGTTGCGCATAGATAAGTCCTCATCTCTATGATCACTGTTCAACTACAGATAGATGATCATTCGTAGAAATATTACATCTCACCTTTTAAACAACTAACTGCCTTTATACTTTTAACACCACTCGAAATCCTCTTCATACTTGCTGTACATCGACTACCACTGATCTGTTCATCTATAGGCGACGTTTTGAGAGAACTTGGATGATACAATGCAAGCATGTTCAGGATGCGGTTTTACCCCTCGAAATGCAAAATGTTGCTTCAAGATTGGGTTTCATCGGCACCAGAACTAGTGATAGGGAGTGAAGTAGTTGAGCGTGTAGACCGCTTCACTTATCTGGGGAGTGTCATCAGTGCTGATGGCCAGGTAACTGACGAAATCTCAGCTCGGATACAGAAAGCTCGATTGGCTTTTACCAACCTGCGTCACTTATAACATAGGCGAGATGTCCGTTCGCTAATCAAAGGAACAGTCCACTGCACAACAGTTTGCTCCGTCTTACTTTATGGCTGTGAAACATGGCCAGTGAGAGTAGAAGATATTCGTCGGTCATTGGTTTTCGATCATAGGTGTCTTCGAATCATTGTTCGTATACCGTGGAACAACCGAGTGAGCAACGCTGTTATTAGGAAACGGGTGCTAGGTATGGATGGCAGATCAGTAGATGTAGTATTGAAACTTTATCAGTTGAGGTGGTAGGAATATGTGTTACGAATGCCTAACCACCGACTTCCTCAAAGAGCTATGTTTTGTGGTGTAGGAGTAGGTTGGAAAAAGTTAGGGGCGGCCAGACCAAAACATGGCATAAATCCATGAAGTCACTGACAACTAGACTGAGTCATGTTGGTAGATGTAGGCTTCCTGGTTGGGGTCCGCGAGACGAAAGTCACCAATGGTTAGAGACCTTGAACGACATGGCTCAAAATCGTTTGCAAGTGCATCCATTCTTTGAGCTCTCTCAAATCCTAATCTTCTGGATTCGTCAACACCTCTACCTTTGTCTTTCTAACCTGATTTCACTTTCTTATAACTCTTGAATAATATCTTCAAACCCTAGTCTTCTTCATTAGCACCATTAATACCTCTACTATTTTTATCACTATGGGATTTGAACTGACAGTTGCGTCTGTGTGGTATGGCAACATGAACTGATGTACTATACGTACGAAGTTCTACGTTGCAACTGACTGACTTGATGTTACACACACACACCCACACACACATACTACAGCCCTAAACTCGTATATTATATATATGTGTGTTAGCTCGATGGTTTCATGTGTATATATAAAACATTCAGTTGATCATTGACATGTTGTTATCTCATTAGAGTAATGTTTCTTTTGTTATAAAGAAAAGAATGAGAAGAAAAATTGAATTAATCTTTGTGTTTTGTTTTTTTTGTGTTTACATGTGTGTATTGTTCTTGTTACTATAGTAATCTAATATATATATTCATTTATGTGTGTGTGTGTATGACCATAGGTTAGTTAGTTAGTACTAACAGAATTTTCCATTTTTTTCAAAAATAACCGATGATGATGATGATGAAACCAAGGTTATGTGTTGTTACTATCCCATCCCACCCCCCCTAAAAGAAAAAGAAAAATTCACTTCAATTACTTGATCATGTTCAATAAATGCTGTGTCATATGTTGTTGTTGTTGTCTATGGTTACATAGTTACTATGTTATGTTATGTTTTGTTTTTCTGCTTTTGTTGTTCATTTTCCAATGTCAACGCCAACGCCAACCATACATACAGGCTGCTGTTCTATCTGTTACAAATCCTAATCATCAAGGGAAAGCAGTAGCACCGGCAGCACCAGTTAATATTGATTGGAATCAACAAGATTCATTATTGAATGTCAATAATAGAACAACAACTACCAATACTACTTGTACTACTACTACTACTACTAGTACCACAGAATCAGTTCAAAATGAATTGAAAGTCTCGCATGGAGTATTTACTCCATCATCAGTGTGTTTAACCTCTGCCAATGTGATCAATACTAATAATAATCGTCCGACTGCTACTACTACTATGATTACTACTTCTTCTATTCATCAACCGAATTCTACATCAGTAGTTTCTACAGGTTCAATTAGTGGTGGTCAGTTACCGTTTCATAATAATACAATGTATGTGAATAGTATTAGTAATATGAACAATGTGCTACCTCAGTCACATCCAAGGACATTACAATCATCTAGTGGTGGTTGTAGTACTACAATGAATAATGAATCCATCAATTCGACTACGACTACCACTACAACAACAACAACAACAACAGCAACAGCATCTCAATTACATCGTTTACAAATGGCAATGGAATCTGTATCTGCAAGACTACCACCACATTTAACATCAGTTACTAATACTACTACTACTGTTACTAATACTGCTATTACTACTAGTAGTAATGGTAATATGAATACTACATGTGATCAATTTGTTACTTGTGGTAAATACACTAGTGTTACTCCGACACCAATTTCACAGCATGCTTCTTTAGTGTCTCATTCACAACAACAACAACAGAATAACATTTACACAACAAAACAATCATTTGTTCCACCATTGTCATCAACATCCACTCTTACCAATGGTATGATTCATCCACAGATGATAACATCAAGAACTATTTCATCAAATACACCAACTTCTTCTTGTTCTTCTTCTTCTTCTTCTTCACCGACATCACCAATTGTACTTGGTCGTAATCCACCATCCGTGTCTCCATTAGCTAATAATCCTGTCTTACAAACATTGATCGATCGGTTAGGTGGTAATGTAGAACCTTCTGTAGCCATTGCCCTATTTCATGCAGCATTGAATGGTTCCAATATACGACGTAATTTGAATGAGAATAATAATAATACAACAGATACACAAGTGATGAATCCTTATTTACGACATGTTGTAGCTCAACAATTTCTTGATAATCGAAATTGTTGTAATGGTGTTGGTGGTCCTGTTAAATCATCATCAATTATTAATCATTCAGAATCTCAAATTCATTCAGTTGCTAATAATCTATGTGCTAAAAGTTTATCTCCATCACTTAGTAGTAGTAGTATACAACATATTCCTGTGACTAATAATAATATTAGTTACAGTTCAAGTCCTCATCGACCTCCACCTCCGCCTAATCCTGCTCCACCTTCAGGACTTCCATTTGTTTCACCTGTACGAATTAATCCTATCGATTCTGACATGAATCAAATTGATCCTAGTGTTAGCAATAATAATAATAATAATAATATTATATCTCCACCGGTTGTTGCGTCACGTCTTCCATTAGTAGTACCTGATCAACCTTCAGTGAATAATAATAATTTGCCTACTCCAAATTCTGAAGTTCAATCATGGAATACACTTGGTTCGGTAAGTAGTATATATATTATCTTTATGTAAACTTGCTCATTGTTAGAATATAATTAATTATCATTGGGATCCTAACACTATATGTCATGTTTATGGACTGATTGATTGGAATATCATACCCGTAATACAATTTCTTTATAAAAAGAAAACTTTGGAATAGTTATAACCTTAGTTACACATTTTTGAAACCATGACTCGATCAATGTTAGATAGACCACCATTAGAAACCTGGAAGCACTGGACAGCCGTTTCGTCCTGGTATGAGACTGACTCCTCAACAGTGCTCATCCACGACTCCTGCACCCCGCAGGATTCGAACCCAGGACCTTCGGTATTGTGCGCGAATGCCAAACAATAGGACCACTGAGCCGGTATTTAACGGTGTTAATGTCTAACTTGATCAATTCACGGAGTTGCGCAACCTCATACATAGTCTTCGGTAGTAGTTACTGTCTACACCCGAACAGGTTGAACTTCATTGGTCACGTCTTCCCACTAGAATTCGGAGAAGATCCCTTACGAAGCTAATCACTAGTGAGCACAGGTAATTTACATTACGGGGTTTCAAAAATGTCTTCACAACCCTGTAATGCAAATATATTTAGTTGTTGTATATTGTGCTAAGGTTAAAGATATAAGGTTCCAACTGTGATAGAAGCGGCATCGTCGTTCAAAAAAACTAGACGACTGTTTTTCTATTTCATTTTACACATTGAATGTGTGTGTGAGGTGTTGTGTTTTCATTGAACTGTATTTTTTTGTTTGTTTGTTTATACAGTCTTATCCTTTAGTATGGCAAGGTCGTTTATCATTGAAAAATACCGAAACACGTGTTGCTCTACATTTTGTTCAAGGCAATCATAATCTACTCAATGCATGTATGACATTGTTAGCTTCTGGTGGCGGTGGTCAACCACAATTCTCGTTAATCACAAGTGGTGGTCCATTACGTATAGTACAAAGAATGCGTCTTGAACCAGCTCAGCTGGAAGGTGTACAACGTAAATTAAATCAAGATGGTGCATCATGTGCTTGTTTAGCTCTGCCTACTGGTAATAATCCAATTGAATTAGCACAACAAACACAAATATTAAATGAAAATTTTATTCGTTATATGCAAGAGAAAATGGCTGCTGGTATTATTAATGTTGGACATCCAGATTATCAACAAGTGAGTGATGAGTAGTAATAGTAGTATTTTGGATTGAATTTCATTTCATATTAGCTCATATTAACTCATTGCTGCTATTCTGAACGAATTGATCATTTCAAATCGAAAAAGATGCGATTTTACTCTGTATCACCTCTCCCCCCCCCCGACCGAAGCTGCTACCTTGACGTGGTGATGGTCGGGATTGCCTACCGTGATTACCCAACCGAGCTATACTGGCTGGAACATATGTTCCTGAAGGTTCTACCATGCCACACAGGTCGATTGGAGAACGACGAGACTAAAAGCAGCTATTCCAGGTCTGAGGGCGAAGTCGTACTGCTGACTGACTGTGGAGGGATGTGACAGCAGTAAGGTGTTTCCCTCCAACAACCAGCATCTGTAGCGATGCTGCCTTCTCACAAGGAAGGAAGGGTTAGAAAATGTCGACCCTAAAAATATCATACCTCAACTTACCTTACGGATTTCCGTCTCCGTCGGTAAGGGTGCCCACTAAGGGCTCTCAAGAGCGGAGCTAACACTCAAAAAACTCATAAAAAGGCCGTGCGTGGCCGGCCTCAAGCAGTTGTCCCTTGGACTCTGCGGTCACGCTCCCAGGTCGTTCAGACCAACACTAATCTACCTTCCTTTTCAGGTTTCTCAAGAAACAACCTTCCACGGTGTGGGCAGCCGGGAATCGGCAACCGCCCTCATACCCGTAACAGCAAACAAGATCGAATTGGTGAAAATAAAAAATCATCTCTCTCTGTGAACATGTACCCTGTCTCTCTCACTCTCTCTCTTTCTCTGTACACTACACCACGCGGTTTACAGTATTCTTGCCCCTGTGCTTGTTTTAGTATCATCTTACGTCGTGACAGTGTTATTGGAGTCGCTTGTATAGATTGAAATGTGAGCACTACTTGTATGATGGAATGTTTGTCCATCCAGTCTACTACTGTTGCAAAGATGTTGCAGTACTTGTAACGTTCATCTTATTTCTTATCATCATTATTATTGTAGTGTGGTAAGATGAATTCTTCCAGAGAAGTGTATGTCAGTCAGTTGCAACGTAGAACTTCGTACGTATGTACATGAGTTCATGTTGCCATATCACATTAACACAGAGACGAAAATGTCAAATCAAATCCCATAGTGATAAAGATAACAGAGATATTAATGGTAATGAAGAAGACTAGGGTTTGAAGATATTATTCAAGAAGTATAATTCAATGAGATAAGGTTAGAAAGACAAAGGTAGAGGTGTTGACGAATCCAGAAGATTAGGATTTGAGAGAGAGCACAGTGAATGATCCGGTAGCTCAATCGAATAGAGCGCTGTACTTATATTGCGAGGTCGAGGGAAGTGTATGACTACTACTTGTCGCCCTGGTTGATTTGATCAATGTAGGAATCAAATATTCATTAGATCAACCACATTAAATAAACACAACAATATCAATAGCCAACGAGTTAGAATCATGCAAAGAGAAGAGTTAATCATTGAGAAAACTGAATAAAAGCTGACTGACTGGAATTCCATTTGTTGTTGTGAGAGAAGAAGATAGACTAGTGACGACTGTATCTCGTCTCACTGGAAAAACGCCTACAGCCAGCTGATATTTTTTTGCAGTTTGCTGAACCAACTAACTAACTAACTGATCCATAACCAATTAATCTTTATTCCCCAAGCACATTGTCATTATGCCTTCAATAGCTTTCTTCCTTACATACACCAGCTAACATTGTGCACCTTGAGGTGTGGGGTTTACCAGTTAGTTAGTTAGCTAGTTGTACAACGAAAAACACCTCAATCTAAGCAAAGAAATTCTTTTCGACAAACTTGTATTGTTTGTCTATTATCCTTTTTAATTATTACTCATCAATGAGTGACAATATATACGCACACCATACAATCGACACACTTATAGTTTACTCATATTTGATGTATATATAGACATTATAACTGTTCTCGACTTCAGAAGGATAGCAAGACGTGATCAGTTAAGTTCAACCTTGTCAAGATGTAGGCAGTAATAACTAGCGACAATAAATCGGTGAGATTGAACAAGAAATCCTTAGATATTAGTTAGACATTAACACCGTTGGATATGCCGTCCTGTGAGTAGCAGTAGTCGTCAATGTGTAGTGCTAATGATAAGTTCCATACATTAGATTGAAATGGCTGTTTTCCAGATTTCTAATGCTGATCCAACAATGTGTAAAACTACCATCTTCACAATGCGGAAAATTATCAATAAATAAAATGTATAATAACTAAGTTATTTTCTTTCTTCTTCTTGGCCTTTCTCGTAATGTAACTACATTTTTAAATCCAATTAGGAATTGGTTTCTTTCCCTTTATATACAACTAACTGTATTTGAGAGTGAATACAACCAAGCAGAAATAATAATACTAATAATAATAATAATAATTTCCAAAATGGTAATTTCGAATTTTCCCTTTTTTTTTCTTCTTGTCTCGCTTGTAATTTCTTGTAAAATCAAGGAAAAAGGGAGAAAAACTAACTAACTAGCTAACTAACGACCAACAATCAGCCATCCATCTATTGATTTGTTCTTTTTAAAGGGCACATGTGATAAATGCGCGCAATAGAAAGCTACATAAGTTGCTATTGCTGCTATACACCAGACTAGAAAGAAAAAGATTTACAATTCTCTTATTATGATCATTTGTTTTCTTCATTCTTGCCTTAAATTCCTACCTCTCTCTATTTACCTACCTACCTGCATCATCATCATCATCATCATCATCTGCCCGGTCGGTCGGTTGGTCGATCGATCGATACGACCATACTACTACTACTGCTACAGTTAAACTAAGCATCATCATTCATCCATTCATTCTCTCTCTCTCTCTCTGTATTATCATCTACCACTAACCAGTCCAATGATGGACCGGCCAGAATGCTATCGATTCTCCAAAAACGAATCTAATCCAGTCTGACCTTGGGATGATGATGGATTGTGATTGGTCG